CTCAAGGTGAAGTCGATCCGACAGGGTGACGGCGTTCCGTGCGTGACTGCAGCTGCATTAGCACTTTACCAAAAGATTAAAAGTTGATGCAGGTACGCTGGGATGATCAGTCCCAGTATCACCAAGGCTTAGAGAGTGTCTTCGTTGGTGCCAGACTCTCTGCCTTGCCAACAACTTCTGCTGAAAAGCAATTCAAAAGAATCCCTGTGACTACAAGGGGCACACACACACTGACGAACCCGCCGACAGACAACACACAAACCACTGAGACTAGACTATGTGACTCTGGAATCACTGATTTTGGCACCTGCACACAATATGTCTCGCGGGACTAAGGACGTTTATTTTTTAACGTGTATCATAGTTAGTAGCATTGTTACTCTAGTAGCAAAGGATCTAGCGAGAGTTCCTCTAGAATCCTTGCGGGTTTGCTGTCCTGAACTTCTAGCCTGCAACAAAAAAGAGACCCAACGGTTAAGATTCTCTATCGATCTAGGAATCATGCGAAGAACCCGAGATCTTTTGCGTCCACTGCCTGGCAGCTTCTTGTTGCCTGGCTTACTCCCCCCCCAAATGCTTTATTCCTTGCAGTCTTGGCAAAATCTGTTGGCAGCTCGCGGATCAGACAAGCATTCCTTACCTTTGTCATACTTTGTCACTCGTTTCTCTCACAAACACGACAATGAGCGTGGTCAGTCGATGTGCTGCAGAGCTGGTTTTTTTCGACACAATGAATATATAGACTTTCTCAGAGCCGTGTATCAAGAAAAAATGCAGCAAAAACTAAGAATGCCAAGTATTCGAACGCCTGAAGTTACGCATTGGAAGACGGATTCTTTTTGACAACAGCTGACAGCTCAGCCCAGTCTTTTTGGAACCGACGCCACAGCAGTGCGAGGCCCCGAGCGCCGACCCCGGAGCAAACAAATCACTGGCTGCAGGCGAAAGGGTGGAGCCAAAGGGAGTTGAGCGGGATGGCAATGCAGGGATGGCAATGCAGGGATTGTTCACAGATACATTATGAATCGATATTCATTATTTATTTTAGCATTTACTTGGGATGTTTCAATATTTTTGTCACGGATGTTTTGAATTCTGTGAAGAGATGTTGTAAGATCTCTTTGATCCCTTACATGTTAGCCACGAAGGCCTGTTTTGCTGTCGGTTTGGTTGCCGGTATCTTGTAGACATTGTAGAGCTTGGAAGGAGCCCAAAGAACTTCAGTCTGGATGTCTGGTCGGAGTTGTTGAGTTCTTGTCCAGCCGCAATTTCTTGTCCCATTTGTCGATGCTTTGCCCCCCTGGAGGGAATGGAGTTTGGAGCGGAAGAGGAAGCGAAGGCGGCACCACAGGCCACCTTGGCGGATAAAGCCCCAAGACTACTCTGGAGTGAGCAAGACTATTTGGCGGTCAAGTAACAAAAATGATGAAAAACGTGTCTTTGAATGTCTTTGGTCTTCTCTTTCTTTGCAGGTCAGTGCAGTCTGCAGTACTCTGCAATGCCCGAGACCAGAGGCGGTTTCTCCACGAGATGCTCAATGGACGTGTCTTGGCAGACGTGTTGACAGCGAGCATTGTTGAGTCATGTTGACTCCAATCTCTGAGGCGTCCACGAAGCCCCACGCCCACGAAGATGCTGGCTTGGGGCGAAGAGGACGGGTCGAATGCGTTTTCGAAGGAAAACAGGCCGAGAAATCAACCAATGAAGGACAACGAAGAAACTCTTTTCGGAAGGCATTCCAAAGCTAAATCCCAAGGTTTTCTGAACAATGCATACCCAGCAATCCACACGTAATCTGTTTTGAGACGCACACACGTCATTGAAATGAACAAGCTACTAGGGGCTCCTGGCCGTACTGCTAGGAGCATGGACGCTACTAGGAGCAAGGCTTGCTGGTGGCTCAATTGAACCAACCTAGGACACGCCAAGCGCCGGATCCAATCTACGAGCTTTGCACAGCAGCCGGAGTTTCTGGAAGTTTGGATTGCCTCGATAGACTCTAGGAGCAAGGACGCTACTAGGGGCTCCTGGCCTTAGTACTAGGAACAATGTTTGCTATTAAAAACAAGAAGCTACTAGGGGCTAGATTGCCTCGATAGACTCGGCTGGCAAACTCTGTTGCCTCTTGGAAACAACATGCTCATTTCCGCTCCATTTTCTTTCTCCACTGTGCGGTCCAGCCGCAGGTTTCCATTGTTTTGTTTTTCTTTGTTGGGGGATGTGCCAGGTATTTCTCACCCAGTGATGATGACTATCCAGCGAGAGGCGCTTCAAAGCAGCGTTTCAACTGCGATTGGCCCTTTGAGCACCTTTAGAACACAGGTGACCACTCCGACGGTCTCATCAACAGACTCATCGAGGCGCTTGGTGAAATCATTCTGATCTGGTCTTTTATATTTGCTTGATCCTGCCCATCGCCGCGTCGCTCGCACCTTGTACAAGCACAAGCAGAAGCACAAGCAGAGTCAGCTACTGAGGCATGTCAAATGGATGATGTTCGGCGCGCCTTCGGCATTTACGAGAGGCCGAGTAAGCTGTGGAGAGGAGCAGTGGCAAACTCTGTCAAGCTCTTTGCACAGTGCTGCAGCATGTTGTGTTTGAGGCTGAGACGACAGAGAGTACCGCTGTATGAAGGAGTCTGCCACTCGGAAAAGCTGCTCTGACCCTGTAGGCTAGCTGTGCAATCATCAGCACTTAGAAGTTGGACTCTTTGTTTTGTAAGAAATTGAAGAACACAGCCGTGAACAAGGGAAGGTAAGAACTGCATTTTCAAGGGGTTCTTTGCTCTTACCTTCCTTGTTTCATCTCTTTGACTTCTTCTTCTAGAGTAAATACATCGGCTGTAGCAAGGTCTACAAGCTGATCATTGAGTGCGATCCTCAAACCATTCTTCATTCTATCCTTCTCCAAGACATCAGCAGCATCGAGTGTTTGCTGTCAGGGATTGTGCTGCAGGTGCTGTATTCGAACTCATCAGCTTGGTCATGGAATCCAGCATGCAGCTTAGTTGGCTGGGAGAGTTGAGAAATCGCTTTGACAGTTCAAAGGATCCTTTCATAAGTCAACGCATACTTCTAATACACTTGTGAAGCCAAAGCAAGAAAGTGCTTGTGGCTTGGTTATGCGCATTGGTAGGTTGCATTACTTGATCACTTTCTTTTCTCAACTCCAGTGCCAGATGTGAAGCTTTGCTCAAAGGTTCAGTTCCACTAGTAGCGATGCACTTTGCTCCTAGTAGCGTCCTTGCTCCTAGTAGTAAGGCCAGGAGCCCCTACTACCGTTCCTGTGCTTTTGTAGTTGGAGATTGTATCCTGCAAGCCTCGAACGTGGGTACGGTATGGTACGCGGTATGGTACGGTGTTACATACCTGGCAGACAACTCTCATGCTCAAACATCTGCACTCAAACATCCCAGCTTCCAAAAAAGACCAGGTTCTATGAGACTCTCAAAAGCCAAGGGCCTAGATCAAATTTAATGGCCTAGAATCTCTCTCATGTTTGTGAGAGGAGTTTCATTTTTTTTTGCCAATGAAGCAGCATTGCTCAGATGTTGTGCAAGTTCACTTAGTAACTGCCCTGTTCAATGTGCTCGCTACTAGGGGCTCCTGGCCTTACTACTAGGAGCAAGAAGCTACTAGGGGCTCCTGGCATCGCTACTAGGAGCAAGGACGCTTCGAGAGACTGTGCTCCGAATCGGAATGAAATTCCTTTTTTTTCATGTTTCGTCTCACCCCCCCAGGCTCCGGTCAGCGAGTCTCCTCACGGATCGTCATTGTCTTGATAGAGGTGTGTAGACCGTGAAACATCGTGAAACTCGAACAGGGAAGGTTCTTCAACGAAGTGCGTGTATTTTCATGCATTTTCTTTGTCGACACGCCATAATTCCATGTGTTTGTGGATGATCTTGCATCTTCGACCAGGCCTGTGCCAGAGAGCAGCACAGCGAAAAGGTCGGGCGGTCGGGCTGCTTCGTTGCTTTGGAAACTAATCTGCTTGCCAAATCACTTCTCGGTTCTAGTAACAAAGAGGCCACTAGGTGGAGGCCATCGCTATTAGGTTGGAGGCAATTACTACTAGTAACAAGAAGATACTAGTAACTTATTGTCTAGAACGAAATGCTTCTGCCACAGGTGCACGCTCTTTGGCAGGCCGATATTCTAAGACCGTGGAACGTGCATTCTTTTTGTTGAGCAATTGCGACTCTAGGATTGGTGTCAGCCCAATGAGCCGATTCGCCCTTGTCATCGTGATGTCTTCATGGCAACGCTTGCTGCTTTGTCCTGCTCTCAGCCACATGGTCTTGCGCCCTCTTGAGCCCCCTTGTCAAAAAACAAATTGAATCTTGCTACTAGTAGCGTTCTTGTTACTACTAGTAAGGCACTTGTTTCTAGTAGCGATGCCCTTTGCTACTAGTAGCTTCTTGTTACTATACATCGCTTTGGCCCAAGGGTCAGGACAATGTGTCCTGATCTGGCACTGGAGCTTCTGCAAGATGTTCGACACAGGCAAGTGGCAAGCAAGCTCCCTGCAGCTACAAGCATTTCCTATAAAAATACCCTTTGAAGACTATCTTTATACTTTTGTTCAATTGTTTCTATGGATTTTTGGACCTTTTCCTTTTCATCTGAAGAAACATGTTCGGAAGAGGATTCAGAAGAGTGGCTGGGAAGCAAAGTTATGCCGCCAGTGCGGTTTCAAAACAGACATTCTGTAGGCGTCTGATTGGCAGGTCTGGTGACTCTACGTGGGTCCTCAATGTGGAAGCGGAGGTACAAACATCTTGATTTCGAGATAAATCTAAACTCAACGCGGTTGTTCAGTGTGCAGTACCGGATTGATTCTGTACAGCAAGCTGCAAGCTGCTACGAAACCTGATGGGGCGTCGCAACGCAACGCCACAAACCGTCATGTTTGCCAGGTCCAGGACTTGTTGCAGCTGGTGGACACAGCAGCAAGTGAAGAGCTTGGTGTTGCCTCTTGAAGCTAGTCGAACGTGCAGAAGTTCTCAGTCTTGTCCAATTGCCATGATAGGATTCTAATGGCTTTGGATGTATGGGTGTCTTTTTCTTTCACTTCTGCATATGGAACATGAATGTGGAATCTCAACATTTTGTGACAAGGCGAGGCCAAGCACAATGGAGAGCAGCTAGGCTGGGCTGCACTGGAGACGGACTTGCTTGCGCAGAACACCGACTGGTGAAGGCGACAGCCTGCTTGCAAGCTACAGTGAGCTACAGGACCAGCTTGCACACACCGGTCTTGTGAGGGACGTCGAACAATATTTATTCAATAATTTATTCATTCATTCAAGGTAGGCAGGGTCGGTGATGAGGAATTATTTGATGTCATTCAGTTCACTCACTCCTTTTCAGCTTGAGGCTCAAGCCAAAAAGGAGTGTCGCTCCAAGTGAATCAGTGTCGCTGATTCTCAAGATATTTTTGTGTGCGAGCCATGGCTGACGCAAGTGCTCGACGCGCGGTTGAGCAGGAGAAGCTGAATACCTGGTGTGCCAAGATGGGGATTCAGAGTGCAAGTGACTTGGCTTTTTGGTTTACCTCCTACGAGGAAGCACTTCGTGAAGCCGGTCGCGCAGTGGCAGATGGGTGGGATCTCGCTCGCCGTGAGAGCGAACCGGGGATGGCAGCCCTGGCTCGGCACCTTGTTGCGAGGGAGACAGTTCGCCAGTCTCGCCCGCCACAACCATCCAGTATTCCGGCTCCCTCAATGCCCTCATCTTCGGTGGCACGCCCAAAGCCGTCTTCATTTGCTGGGCCTGTCAAGCCAAAGAAGCAGCCAGCCCAGCCGGCCGGTGCGAAGGGCGGAGTCGCCGCCTTGTTTATTCGTGACTTGTTGGGCATCATGGTGACTTTGATGCCTCCGCCACCTGCTCGACGAGATGAATACATGGCCAATTGGTCCTCCCGCTTGGAGAAGCTATGCGCCCGCTCCGAGGGGGCTACCATCAAGCGTGTGGTCCATACCTGGAAAGACTTGGTGCGCTATATGGACCATTTGGGTTTGAAGTTCCCCGACTCCCATGCATTGGCCACCTTCGTCAGGGAGCACCATGGTCCTACACGTGTGTTTACATCCCTGGGCTGGATGATCCGAAACCTTCGTGTACCTCTGGATTTGAGTGAAGCTTCCAAGCCGGCTCCGGTCCGGAGCACTCGGCTGGGGCAGGGGCAGTCCCAGGCCGCCCCGCTTGAGCCGGGCATGGTGACTCACTTGTTGGGGGTCCTGGAGTACACGGCCGAGCACGCTCACTGGCCTATCCTGATGGCTGCTGCGGCCATGGTGTTTCCACGTGCAACGGAGCTACCTTATGCTTCAAAGGAAAGACCGGGACCCGGGTCCTCGGCAGCTAGGCAGCCTCGACCTCTACGCCATTTGGAACCGCCAGTTGGACAAGGTCCGTCCGAGACACGGTGAGGGGTATCGTCGTTGGCACTTCTTGGCCTTCGACTCTGACACAGGTGTCCCCGTGTCAATTGGGCAATTCCTTCGAGTGGTTCGGCCCTATTTTGAAGGCGTCCTGGATGTGCAGAACCTCAGCTCGTACAGCTTCAGGAGGGTGGTGCCCACCATTGGCCAATGGACGGACGCTGCGAGTGGTAGCTCTACAGCACAGACTCCATTGCGTTACGACGCTCAGAAACAAAGGCAAGGCCACCAACTCCGGCTTGCTGCTGCTTTGTTCCTGTCCAGTGCACCCGAGGTTCTTTGGGAAGAAATCAAGACTACATCCGCTGTGGAGCGATGGTCCGAAGCTATGGTAGCCGCGGACGAATTGCTGTCCGAGAACCCCAAGGCGGTCCGCGTATCGTCTGAAGACATGCCTGGAATGCCCATGGTGAAATCATTGTTGCCGGCATCCTTGGCGGTGATCCGTACAGCTGGACAGAAGATTATTCGGGCTTTGCGCAAGCGGGCAGCTGCTACAGCCTTGACGGGACCTTCATCTTCTCCATCGCAGCCGAAGCCTATACGGTGTCTCCGCGCTTGGCGCCCAAGCCTCCTGCTCCCGTGGTACTGCCTGTACCGGCCAGTCAGGCCACAGTGGATCCGCCCGCCCCTGCCAGGGGCGCGGGGACTCCGGCGGTGGCTGTCAAGAAGAAGCCGCAGCCACCGGCTGCCAAGGCTCGACCTCCGCCGCCGGCGGGGCCGCTCAACGAGGTCTCCGATGCGATGTTCGATATCGCCGCTCGTGAACGTTGGGCGCAACCTGGACATAGTGGACGACCCGAACCTCCTACATTGGTCTTTTGGGGCGCCGACGGCCACGGGTCGCTCTCGGTGGGTGCGCGGCAACGATATTGGGTTGATTGCCTCTGCTATGGAGAAAACCGCCTCTGAGTGTCCTGGCGGAGCGGCGCAGCGGGATTGTTTTCAATTGTCGTGCCCGGTGTCGTACCAGGGCGCGAAACGTGATCAGGCCTTGCAGGATATCAAACAAGCGCCTTCGCTACCCTTGCTGCTGGGTCGAACGTTCTGGTCCACTGTCAGGCCGGAGTGCACAGGGCCCCGATCCTCATGGCCATCCTCCTTGCTTGGATCAAGCGCACCGACTTCGACCAGGAGTACACGAGATTGGAAGGTCTGAGGGCTATCGATCGCTAAGGCGTTTTGACAAGACGCGGCGGCGATGCTTTGTTCAGTTGGGCCCGGTCGAGCTGCGCGGGGAACCTGCCCCAGCTCCCAAGGTACCCTGTAGTTTTTATATGTTCAACAAAAGCAGGGGCATTGTGGCACGTAGAGCGCGAAGGCGCACCGTGGTGCCGGTGGAGACAGGCGTCTCCAGGATTCCGTGGCGATACCCACCGTGCTGGGTCGGTGCACGAGGCATTGGGGGTACGATCGCCAGATTTGCAAGTCATGCCAGGCTGTGCTTCCCGGTCCGGACCGACGTGCATTGGCCTAGGCTGTACGTCTAGTGAATTTGTGTCAAAAGGCGCATTGTCATGTCCTGGGGGCAAGTGTGACCGGATGTGCGCCAAGTCCGTTTTGACCGTTACACAGTTGCAGCTTCGTTCATTCAAGTTCGTTCGTTCAGCATGGACCGACCCCAGGCCATCCAGTTGGCGGCCGTTGCCATGGCGCCTTTGGAAGGAGAAGCGCGGCGGGGCAAAGCAGTTGAGTTGAGGGACTTGGGACAGCAGGCTCGTCTAGCCCTGGAGTCCCTGCCCCCTATTGATTCCCCCTGTCTGGGGGTGGTTCTGGTCCAGATTCGTGCTATGCAGAGCCTCTGTAGTAGCTGGATTGAGTGGTGGGATGAGATTCAAGACATTTTGAGGGAATTCGCCCAGCCTGAGCCGGAACTTCATCCACTGTTGGGGGCACGGCCCGTCAGGCCCGGGTCTGTTCCCCCTTACTTCTATGTTGTGCGGGCCTTTTGTGACGAGATCAAGCTATTGAGTACCACGTTGGCCCCTGCTGAGCGCCATCGCCTACGTTCGGCCCTGACGCTGGCCCATGATGAGGTGACGCCGCTTGCTGCTGCACTGCACTGGGATGCTTTGCGCTGCCTGGGCTTGGAGCTCAATGAGTTGGCGCCGCAGTTAGAGCAACGTACCTTCGAGGGTTGGTAGACAAAAGGTTCGACTCTTTTGATGTGTTCAATGTATGCGGGTGATATCACGCCTTCTGTCCAATTTATATTGTGTTGCAGCTGTCTTCAAGTTTCAAGTGTTCAATTCGATTTCGACGATCCCTCGATTGGCTGACATGTCGTCCGCACCTCCCAAGCAGTTGGCTACGCCTGAAGATACCTTCACGGCCTTGGCTGCACAGTTCAACTTTGACACCCGCATCAAAGACAAGATCATTGAGTTGGGCATCCGTACCCTGGCTGAGTTCCGCCACTACCCTCGGACTGACGAGGAAGTCAAGAAGCTCTTTGTCGACAGCCTTACGCCGTCGTTGGATGACATCCCGGCTCGGCTGCAAGCCGCTCGCCTACGCTTTGCCTGGAACTCCTGCAAGACCATGTTGGATGCCGAGCATGCAGCCGCCAGTCTGCCGCCCGCCTCTACTGAGGATGAGACCCTGCTGCCTACATCCGAGCTCGATTCATTGAAAGAGGCCTTCTACAAGCGCTACCACATTCGTCCGGAGCCTCGCCAGTTCCCATCGGATCGCTTGTTGAGCAAGTTGCCGCCAACTTTACCGGGGGCAGTTGGAGGTCATGGACCTGTGGACTGTACGGTCTTTGACGTTTCAGCGGACGCACAGCCAGAAGCGTCGCAAGGTGGGGGATGGCCTATACTTACAGGAGGACGACACCGAGGAGGATATGTCCAAGACCTGGCTGGCCTACCTTATGAAGCTCGAGACCTACCTGTTGGCTTTGGCTATTGTGGGCTGTCGGCCCCGTGACCCTCCTCCATCGGCCCCGGAATCCTTGTCTTCGAACAGCTTGGACTACGCGCAGGTGCCCTATGACACCCTGTTTCGCTACTATGCCCGGTGCCAGGACCTGGTCTACCGTACAGCTGATTCGAAGCGCCTCAGCGTGCTGCAGCACGTGGACGTTGAGGAGCGGGGGCAGTGGTCTGCCCGGACTGCGGTCGGCACGTCACTGGGATCGGTGATCCATGCAGTGCACCGCGAGCGTGACGCGCTCTGGATTGCGGGGGCCCTGCCGGGGCCAGTGGTGGGTGGCGGGGGGGCGCTCCCGCACCATCCTCTGCGGCGGGGTCGCAGCAGTCGGACTTTGCCGGACGGGCAGGTTCTGTGGTCCACAGTCTTCGAGATGGCGCCGCCCTATGCCAAGATTTCCAACGTGGCCGCTGCAAGAACAAACGCAATGAATGCCCCAAGGGTGTGCATCGCTGTGGAGTCCTTCTGAAGTCGGGGCGGGTCTGTGGATCATGGCAGCACGCGCCTGCCCGTTGCCCGAGCAAGGCTTGAAATGAAGGCCGCTCTTCCACCGGGGGGGAGCGAGGCCAGTTCCATGACATGTCTGTGCATACTGACTACCAACGGTTCATGGAAGAGCTCTCCCTTGTTGAGCCAGTGAGTGATACCGCCCGCAAGCCAGTCTTTCTTGATGTGTTCAGCGGCTTGAATGCCCCGCTTGCTAAGGCCTTCCTTTGGTGCCAATGGGAAGTGGTCACGCCTATCGACATTGAGATCGACAAGGACTTGGACGTGTCTCGGCCATCGGTTCGTCGCGCCGTTCATGCAGTCCTCCCCCAGGTGGTGTTGATCGCTGGAGCGATGAGCTGTGCCACCAAATCGCGGGCACGGGAGAAGCAGCCTGGTCCCCCTCCGCTGCGTAGCGAGGACTCGCCTCGGGGTCTTCCGGGGCTCCCTGAACGCAGTCAGCGAAGGGTGGATGCAGATAACCATTCCAGTGACTACTTGCTAGCACTCCATACTTGGGTAGCCCAACATGGCTTGGGTGGGTTACGAGAGAATCCCCTACGCTCTTTGCATTGGTGGGATCCTATTGAACTCCATGTCACCCAACAGAGCACATGGCATGATTTGGATTACGATGCATGTGTTTTCGGGGGAGCTCGCAAGAAGTCTCAGCGATTTCGTCACAACATTCCAGAGCTTGCTGCCCTACCAGCTGTACGTTGTGGACATATACATGACCCTCGGGAGTGGTCCTCCCCGGTCGAGGGAGAATTTGCTACCTTTGCCGAAGCGGAGTACACCCCCAGTTTGGTGTTCACCCTTGCCGTGGCTTGTACTGCGTGGGCAGCTTCTCGAGGATATCACGTGACTCAGGTACCCAGGCTGCCACCCATCTCGCTGTCAGGTGATCACCGGCCGTTGTTGCAGTTCGAGCCGTCGGAACTCGTCAGGATTTGATGGACGTCATGGGTTTCCACTTGGGCTTGTCTCCTCCGGGTGTGGACTCCTCCTTCGTCCCGGCACGGTTGGTGGCCAGTGAAGTTCTGCGTACACGGAAGCACCTCCAGGAGAATGAGATTTACATCGGCCCTGGCCACTTCTCACATCGGTGGCCCCTGTCACAGTGGCAGAACCCCTTCCGAGCAGGGGAGTGCCGTACATCCTCTGAGAGCGTCCTTCAGTTTGCACGATGGATCCATGACCAAGCGCACCTCCTTGATGCACTGCCTTCACTGCACGGTTGCACGCTGATCTGCGATTGCCCTCACAACCAGCTATATGCCATGGAGATATTATTCGTGCCCTTATTTGGACTACTACAACCTTGAGGTCTACACTTCCACGACGGCGCCGCCAGCAAGGTGTGCGCAGGGTGGCTCTGTTGGCCGCGGGCCCATCCGGTTTTCACAGGAGACAGTGATCGGTGCCCTGATGGCTTTGTGTCCTCACATCCATTGTTCTGGGTTTCAGTGGCCCATGATTGAAGATCTGTTGATCGATGACTCTCACTTCGTTTGGTTGACTACCATGCAGACCAGGGACGACTGGCAGGGCCAAGCGTTTGGCCCGTCTCTGGTGGGACCCATTGAGCGGGCAGCCATCTCGCTACACGGTTTTCAGCAGGCAGGGGCCGCGGCTGCGGCGAAAGCCATGCCGCCATTGATTCCCTTCGGCGTGGGTGATGAACGGCACTTTGAGCTGGCAATGGAACTCAAATCCCAGCCTACCCCTTTTGAATCGATGGGTGTTGTGGATGACCAGTATCGACAGTTGGGTGCATCGTTACGAACCACTAGGCAGCATATGACGCGCTGGATTCATGAGCTGGCCCGGCGCACATGGCCTATCACTGAGTGGCTACGCCAATTTCAACCACCTGGTCCTGCACGAGTTACTAGGGGCCGCCGCATTGCCCTGATTGGCTTATTGATGATGTTCATCGGGTGGCCTGACCCTACCTTCATGGAGTGCCTGATCTTCGGTTTTCCGGCAGTGGTTTTTCCCCACATGTGCCAGTCTATAAAGCCCAGCCAGCCAGCTATATCACCTCGTCGGAGGTGGTGCACGGGGCGTGGCAGGATGCGGAACGCCTCATCCGCACCTTGCAGTCATGCGAACACGATGAAGCTATCGTTCGGGCTGGGTCAGGCGACGAAGCACTAGGGTTCTGTGGACCCGCCATGTCTTGGTCGCAACTTTGCCGGCAAGTACGTCACTTTCGCCTTATTCGGCGGTTTTGCATTCAGCAACCCAGCGGAAAGCTCAGAGTCATTGATGACGCTGCTGACGGGGGGCAAAGTGAACTTAGCCACGACTCGAATAGGTTTGCGTGTACAACTTCTCTGGCGGGCAGTCAGCCCTCTTCCCAATGCAGACTCATTGCTTGCAGAAGGCATTTGTTCAGGGGGTGAAGACCTGCCCAATGCATACCGGCATGTTCCCATGGTCCCAGAGCACTCCGACCTTGCCATCGTCGCCTACTACGACCATCATGTCGGGGAACCTCGATTCCGCCGTTACTATGGTTCACTGTTTGGACTGCCCAACGCTGTTTGTTCATTCAACCGGTTCCCTCGGTTCTTTCAGGCTCTTTGTCGACACATGGGATATTGTTTGGCCAGCATGTATTTCGATGACCTTACCGTCCAGGACCTGGGCAGCTTGAAGGGTTCAGCCCAACAGTTCATTACGTCGCTGGCTACCGAACTCGGCTCACCATTCCAACCGGAGAAGCATCAGATCATGCAAAGTCAATCTGACTTTCTGGGGCTAGTACACGATGTGGGCAACTGCCACCAGGGGCAGCCTGTCAGATTTTGGCCGAGAGATCGTCTGATCACTAAGGTCACGGACCTCATGGACGAAGCCACCCAAACGAACCGACTCCCGCCAGGTCTTGCCGCCAAGCTGTTTGGTTGCCTGGGCTTCCTCAACACGGGGTGTTTTGGGAAGTTGGGGAGATCAGGATTGAGCCCCCTGAAGGAGCGTCAGTATTCTCGTGACACAGCTTTGACTGAGGACCTCTCACGTTCTTTCGTGACCATCAAATCCCTCCTCGCATTGCGTCCTGAGCGAGAACTACCACTTCAGCCCGGTAGCCGGCAACGCTACGTCGCGGCATCCGATGCGGCCCAAGATGAGCCTCGGCAAGGTTCAGCGGGCCTATTATTTGTTGGACCCCAAGGCGAACGAGATGCCTATGTCGTTGACATTACGGCGGAGCTCTTCAACCTGTGGTCCGAGCACCCCACCAAAATCGCCCAGCTGGAGCTTCTTACAGTTTATGTCGGATTCATCTTTGTGGCCAGCCAGGCCCGCTCCTGTCAGGGGATTTGGTTTGTGGACAACATTGCAGCGCTGATGGCCCTAGTCAAGGGCAGGAGTGATAACCCGGAGCTGGACACTACTCTCCTCTACTCACTGCGCAGCGGGTGCTATTTTGAATGGGTCCAGTCCGCAGACAATTGGCCCGATGGTATTAGCAGGCAAGGGATTCACGATAAATGGTATCAGGCTCATGGCTTCCGTGTACATCGCGTTCCAGTACCTCACCTACTCCGCCTACCATACGTCATTATATATCGTGTGTTCCAGTTCTTCTGAGTGCTTTGGGTATGTTTGAATGCATTGGGAACGAATACCTGGCAGAGGTATGCACCAGGGGTGCACGCAGCGTGGGCTGCTGTGACAGGGTCACATTAACCAAAGCACTTTTGAACCAAGACTTTCAAGCTGGTGTGAAAAAGAATTGGTCCGAGTCTGACTCGTTGCATGTCAAGTCAAGTGTAACTGATGCAGCCGAATATGTTCATTCATTCAAGGTAGGCAGGGTCGGTGATGAGAATTATTTGATGTCATTCAGTTCACTCACTCCTTTTCAGCTTGAGGCTCAAGCCAAAAAGGAGTGTCGCTCCAAGTGAATCAGTGTCGCTGATTCTCAAGATATTTTTGTCCCACCCACCACACCCTGTGCTCGGTACGAGTGGTTACAGGTGCTCGTGGCAGCTGTCGGCCTGAGTTCCCATGGTTGCGGTGCATCCACGTGATTTCCTTGGCCTGTGTGATGTCGTCCACGGAGTGGCCTCGTTTGTAGCAGCAATCTGCAGGCATCCACGGTCCACGGTTTGATTCGATTCGACACTACGGTCTCAAGCTGATCCAAGTGGCACGGCTTTAGCGCAATTTTCGGTTCATCATTCTGAAGTCCAGTGGCACCGCGTGGTCGCTGTCAGCTGAGTACCACGGATGCGGTTCCTTATTTTTCTGTCTGCAGTGACTGGTCGTCACCCTGGCGCAGTCGGCCGGAAGCCAGATGAATTGCAGCTGTCGGCCTGGCTAATTGCTCTGGCAATTAGCTAATGGACTGGTGCTGTCTGCGGGTTACCATGGTGTCCATTCTATCTTTTTGTTACCAATTGGACTGTTTTAGTGGCTGCTGTCGGCGGAAAAGCCACACCCTTTGCAGCAGTCGGCCAGGCAAAATACTTCGGTCATGAGTCCAGATACCATTTCTCCAGTGACATTGCGGAGCAATTGTCGGTCACTGTATTTGCAGTATGCGAGTGTTGACTCTTGGCTTACTGCACTGCGTCTGTTTTCAATCCTACTCCAACATAGTCATAGGACTGACATTCAGTATCCTCTTGACTATTTTAAGGAGTCTACCAGGTACCGGTAGGGGAACGAATACCTGGCAGAGGTATGCACCAGGGGTGCACGCAGCGTGGGCTGCTGTGACAGGGTCACATTAACCAAAGCACTTTTGAACCAAGACTTTCAAGCTGGTGTGAAAAAGAACTTGGTCCGAGTCTGACTCGTTGCATGTCAAGTCAAGTGTAACTGATGCAGCCGAATAAATTCATAAATTGTATTTCTTGTTTCTAAGAGCTTCTTGTTAGTAGGACGGCCAGGAGCCCCTAGTAGCGTCCTTGCTCCTAGTAGCGATGCCAGGAGCCCTTAGTAGCTTCTTGTTCCTAGTAGCATTATATAGACACATCATGACACATGCATCAATGTAATATCAATGTAATATCGATCCAGCAACTGAAGAGTACCAGCACTCTTTATGTGCAGCTCGCAATATTCAACGCATAGTCCCAATGATGGCTAAAGTCTCCTGCACTGTGCAGTCTTCTTTCTGCACGACCAGAGGATCTGCTGCTTCAGCTACTTGATGAAGCAGACAGCCATGCAACCACTCCGAGTGGGCCACTGAGACAACCTGTTAGTGGATATGACATAAGGATGACTTCACAGCCCATTTTTCTTCGGCGTACGAAACGTCGCAGTTGACCTGTAGAGCATCAGAAATTCTTTCCCCACCATCTTGCAGCCGGATTTGTCGACACCTGAAAGCCTTCCAAGTATTCTACACATGCTGTACCTGCGACAAAAGGCACTTGCAAATACAATGCGTTGCGACACGAATGAAGGCAAATGCAATAGAGAAAGGCAAAAAAGAAGGTGGACTTGGATAAGAGGAAAGTATATAATAGGCATATATATATATTAGGTGTTTTCATAAATTTTGGTTTTCTTCTTTTCATGTTTCTTCATATTCTTTTGTTTCTCTTCGCTTTTTCTTAGGCCTCAGGTCTTCAACATGCCTCTACTGATACAGTCTTTCGCCAGGATACGGTCGACCGAAGAGTGTGGAACACGTGGTGGAGCACAGTGGAGGCTAGAAGAATCAAAACGGAGAGCTCGAAGTGCACGAGCTCGAAGAGCACAGGGAGACTCCAAGAGACACGGATTTCGTTTGATTTTGTTGGTTCGTTTGGGAACATTGTAGGTCTACGCGATGATGAACTGCTTCTCATGGAGGAGATTGAATCTGATGAGTTTCCTCGATTTGCCTTCGTGCAATTGCCGCCAGGATGTTGATTTAGACTTGGAGTCCGCTACCCAGTGGCCTCCAGAGGACTCACTTGGAAGTTCTTTGTAATGAATTTGACACAATAAGGCTTGCGGCGATGTGATCCTGGCAGTTTGGTCAGGTTTGTTAATGCGTTTGGCCATTGTAAGTGTACTTGTTTCAATGTGGCCGTGTTCTGCCAAGACGGCATAGCTTTATCGGTAGGTCCCTCGTATGTGCCTTGCTGAAACGGCATCGCAACGCGATGGGAGAGAACAAAGCGAGATAAAGCCAGGCTTGTGTGAGGGAGCGTTGTGGCGTTGTGTGAGGGGTTCTTGCATCTCAGCTATATATATAAATATATATATGTCAGAGTATTGACACTCTTCAGATCTTTGTTCTCAATGTGAAAGAGCAAATGGCATGTGTGGGGTAGCATGATTTCAGCTGAATTGTTGTCAAAGCAGTCTAACAGTTGCAGAGTCCACTTCAACCTAGATCACATTGCATTCTGTTTAGACAGCATGCAGCATGGAATCCAGCGACGTCCATCTCATCAGCTGGAATGTGGCGGGGTTAAAGCCAACATTGGACCAGTTGCGTCGCTTTGGATTTGCAAACTTCTTCCGTCGCCATCGCGTAGACATCTTGTGCTTGCAAGAAGTCAAACTGAATTCCAAAGCATTAGCAACTGCTGGTAGACAGTACGAGGTGGATGGATACGACAGCTTTTGGGCCTGCAATGATGGGTGTGGGAACCAACGCCAAGGACTCAACGGTGTTTGTACCTTTGTGCGAAGGGGCTTGACGCTGAGTGCGGACAATTCACCTCTTGGATGTCCGGATTTAGATGGCGAAGGTCGTTGTCTTTTGACCGATCACGGCTCCTTTGTGCTTTTCAATGCGTATGTGCCCAATGCCGCGGGCGGCCCACGCTTGCCTTTCAAGTTGCGCTGGCTTAGAGCATTGAAACATGCCATGTGGAGAGAAAGGTCAAAAGGGAAAGCTGTGATTCTTGCAGGTGATTTGAACATGAAGCATCGAGTACTGGATACACACTGGAGTTGTGTAAGCGTGCGACCTGAGCACTTCAAGATCGAAGAGAGCGACGCATTGCCAGACATTTCCAAAATTGCGGCACTCTGGCCGGACCTGGTTTCTGCTTTTAAGGGCAAGACCATCTCTCAGATCGAGACACGAAACTCCAGGAACGGACAGACATTTCAGAAGTGGGGCGTGTGGGCAAAGCCCCTGACAGATGCAGATGCCCCAGTTCGCCTTGGGCCACCAATTGAACATCAGGGGATGGCAGAGTTCAGCTTTTGGATGGACGGCCTTCATGTGGAGGAGGATGGCCAGCCAGAAGCCTTAGGTGCACTTCAAAAGAATCACACTATAGTCCAACGTACTTGTCAAAGTTTTGCTCTTCCGGTTTTGAGGATTGTCACTAGACCAACAAGTACCTCGTACGTGTCGTGACCTCACACTGAGTGCAAGTGCAAGTGACGTAAAAAGGCAGCTGAGCTTCATTGTGAGTTGGACAGCTTCAGGTTGCGAGAGAAAGGCGAGATTTCCATTGGAGAACTTCTTGAAGGTCGGGGCAAACATCTCTCAGGGCTTCCACAACAGTTTTGCAGTTGCAAGTAGATGTTTTCCAATGTTATTATGATCCCTACTAACCTACTATTATATTTTGCCCAAATCTCTTTACAACATCATCGCGGTCTTCACAACATAGTCCCAGCCACCTCTTTCATAACATTTTCAGCGGTGTGTCAGGATATGAGGTCATCAAGATGCAGCAAGAGGTTTTGTGAGATGTTGTTTTGATAATCTCGACTTGTAGACAAGTGCAGCCAATGCAAAGCATATGGGACCAACTCTCGCCCGCCGCTTCCCCACCCTGTCAACCATCATCAATAACCTTTTCGGCATGCCTTGTCGCACAACATCGGTATATTAGATAGCTTGAATTGAATGCAACATTTGGTGGGCAGGTATGAAGAAACTTGCTGGTGCTTTGCTTAGAAGCAGTTTTCGAGCATGTTATTGAGCAACATGTTTCGATTTGAAAACAAGACGTGCCATTTCAGATCGGTTTCACAAGGGACACTCTACAGCTTTAAGGAGTGGACATCAGCACTGCAGCAAGAGATTGGCTGGTGATGACCCGAGGGTCACTACATGAACCTCCTCTTTCTTTAAAGATGTTTCCTGCTTTAAAGCAAGCTCAATCAAACTATTCTTGAACAGTTTGCTTCATGAAGACGAACACTCACGGTGGTCTTAAATTTCATGTGGGCCCAAGCTGAGTGCTGATTGGGAGCCAAATCCATGCTTGTTCTGCTTGTTTGTGGTTAGCATGAAGTGCTAAATACCTTCTTTGGCAATACACAGTACCATAAGTAGCATGTGCCAGCAAAGACAGCAGCACATTGATGCAAACGTCGTCCCACCTTGAGTCCAACAATGCATAGCCTATGGTCATGTACCCTGGCAACAGCGCTGCGCCGTCCCCAGACGTCGTATGTCATACACCGTGGTGTACCCTATGTCCCGCTGCAAGTGGGAGTTTAGTTCTTAGATCCCAAGGTGGGTGGCCGCTGCGAGAGATGGTCGCTGGGAGTGCCCTGCTTTGTCCGTTCTTGAACATGGAAGCCTTTCACCTCTTTTTTTTTGCATTCCATCTCGTCCTGGTGGTCTCATTTCAGACCTCGTTGTTTGCAGGGGGAAGACTTCAAGCGGATCTTACCCCTCTGACAGGGTGTTCTTGAGTGCTGTCTACTCGTCATGAGCTCAAATGTGGCCAAAACAACACTTGTGGATGTGGGGCTCACGGACTTGAATGCACTGAGGGCCACGCATCAAAGGATCTATACATTTGGTGGAAACACTGATCCAGGCAAAACGTTGTGCTTCTGCAGAAATGTTTATTCTAACATGTTTAAGTTCTGATCTTTTAGATTGATCGAACTTGCGCTTTCGCCAGATATTTTTGGTAACCCGCAACCACAGAACGACTTTCACGAGATCGATGTCTCGATCCCAGCACTGAGCAGCCAACAAATGGAGTCTACTGTCTAAGCCCATCCATTTTCCACCGCTAGTACGTCGGAGGTCGCTGGTGGTTGGAGGCCATCGCTATTAGGTTGTTGGCCATCGCTAGTAGGTTGGAGGCCATCTCTATTAGGTTGGAGGCCACCGCTATTAGGTTGGAGGTCGCTAGTAGGTTGGAGGTCGCTGGTAGGTTGGAGGCCATCGCTATTAGGTTGTTGGCCATCGCTAGTAGGTTGGAGGCCATCTCTATTAGGTTGGAGGCCACCGCTAGTAGGTTGGAGGCCATCGCTAGGAGGTTGGAGGCCATCTCTATTAGGTTGGAGGCCACCTAGTACGTCGGAGGTCGCTGGTAGGTTGGAGGCCATCGCCATTAGGTTGTTGGCCATCGCTAGTAGGTTGGAGGCCATCTCTGTTAGTTTGGAGGCCACTGGTACCAGTAGGTTGGTCGCTGGTAGGTTGGAGGCCATCGGTTGTTGTCCATCGCTAGTAGGTTGGAGGCCATCTCTTTTAGGTTGGAGGCCATCGCTAGTAGGTTGGAGGTCGCTGGTAGGTTGGAGGCCATCGCTATTAGGTTAAAGGCCATCGCTAGTCGGAGGCCATCTCTATTAAGTTGGAGGCAATCGCTAGTAGGTCGGAGGCCATCGCTAGTAGGTTGGAGGTCGCTGGTAGGTTGGAGGCCATCGCTATTAGGTTGGAGGAAGTTGGCGGCCTTCGCTTGTAGGTTGGAGGTCATCGCTAGTAGGTTGGAGGTCATCGCTAGTAGGTTGGAGGTCGCTGGTAGGTTGGAGGCCATCGCTAGTAGGTTGGAGGCCATCGCTAGTAGG